GTGTAACGAGGGCTATAGTCTGACTGCGGGTCATCTCAGCAGAAACCTCCATTTAACATTCTGACATCGCCACGAGGAAGAGATACCCATAGAGAACTAAAAAGTAGTATCTAGAAGACTCAACATTTGCACAATAATAGAGTTGGGATCAAAGAAAGGAAAAAAAATCACATTGTGTGATGTCATTATGTGTGGTGTCATAATGTGTGATGTCATGTTGCGACAAACATTGTAGTCTAGCAGATAATGAATTCCTGAATTCCTATTAGAAAACATGGCAGAGAGATGGAGCAGCTCCCCTCCCCCATGTTACCGCCATAACGTCACCATAGAGTAAAGCGCAGTTAAAATAACATCTATTCCACTTCACAATCCTTCTATTCCTTCTATTATCAGTATGAAAGTGATTATTTTTTTCAATTTTTTTATTTGTAAACCAACTATTATTTGTTAAGTGCTTTTCTGTGTATTCTTCCATGCAGTACAATATACCATGCCGCCTGCAAGGTCACTGATTATCACTCCCGCAGCCAGCAGCGCCTGCCATTGGCATTCAATTCATTTTCTATGCAGACTCCAGCTACTGGGCTTCCAGGAGGTTCTGGCTTTATGTTAAACGTCCCCGCAGCAACCATTTAATAAAGATATAAATGGAATCCACGTGATTAATATGCTATAATCTTCAATATTAAATTCCTCTAAAATATCAGATCTGATTAGAGATTATTCTTGCGTCAGTGACCTAATAATCTAAATTTTATTAAAGACAGGAGGCTTCGTATTTGCTTTACTTCCTTTACTGTTCCTCCCAGCAGCAAAGAAACAGTTAACGGATCTGAAAAAAGAAACAACCAATCAGAACACATCTAGTCAGTAATAAGTGGCTGTGAAACGCCTCCCAATTCCTCTTTCTTGATGCAGCCGGAGTGACGTCAACCATGTAAACTGGAACGAATAATCTTCTTCAAACAAGCGAGATCAACCATGTAAACGAACTAAACAGATCCTCAATGAGGTCGTCCTGCAGAGAGGTGAAGGCCATTTCACACCGAGAGAGAACTTGTGAAAGTACGGTGTGATTGGCAAGGTGCCTTCATACAGATGTCTAGAGTTAAAATAACGAATACTAAAACTTCTGGGGTACTACACATAAAGTCACCCGTGATGTGATAGTCATATTTATGTGAATGAAAGACACAAAGCTTATGAACAAAACTACAGCAGTATGAACACCCTACCTGTATATCCCATTCTGGAAGAAAAAACGGGAGGGCGACGTACGGCAAAACGAGCGCGTGTAGGGTGGGAAAATATTCACCTCCTGTCTTTAATAAAATTTAGATTAATAGGTCACTGACGCTTGAAAGGGTTAATGTTGTAATGGACTCTAATCCCCTCGGTTCTCGATCCCTCGGTCACCATAATCAACGTTGATGGAGAATCATTTGTAAGCAATAACACTCGGACAACAGCTTTACAAGACTCTCAAATGAGTGTATTCCAGAGCTGGCTTTTATACATAGTTTGCTTACATTAGCCATGGTATATGCAAATACAGTACAGACTATAAGATTTATTACTTCCTTGTATTACGTTATTCTGACAATGGAAAGATAAGCTTTTGCATACGTCTGGAAAAGAATATCCTTAAAATCGGAATGGGCAAGACATCCTGAAATTTAGCATTGTCTTACATCCTATAGAAGAAATACCTTAGTCTGTCACAGTCAGCATATTGACTTTAAGTATTCAATATCCCTTCAGTCAGCAATAATCATGTTATAAACCTTATAAAAGCATAAAATACATATAAACAAGTTAACTATTTAATATTCTTACATTCCCCTCTTTGAGCAATAAAACAATTGCTCATCTTATCGATAAAATCTTACCAGGACAGAGAAACTTCCACATGGTATTTTCAGGGGTGCTAGTCACTCCCTGCGGGACTTTCATTAATTTCTTCACCTCGATTCCCATGTGGTAATTCCTAAGGCCCAGTTTAAAGATGGGTTGATACTCTACAGTGGCAGAGAGGAGAATTTCTAATTGTTTCTGTTCTGCATTATGGATTCCTTTCTGTACTCACTTCCTCAATGTACAAGTAAGGTGACAGTTATATAAAACCATACACAATAAAATCAGGACTATAATAACAAAATGATAGAAGAATGATTTCATTATCTGGGATCCAGTAGGGGACCAACCAGTAAAGCATTGTACCAATGATGGGCTAAATCATTCTGAATTTGTGAACTCACCTTAAGGAGTTCTCCTTTTAGGATATGTGTGGCTACCTGTGTGTGTTATCTTTGGGAAAATATAGTCCCCTGTGTATGTGGGTGCCCACCAGGTTAAATTCTTGGCAAAAAGATCATAAACTGGTACTGGTAATGTGTTAAATTGACAAGCTAATTTAACATCCTTTGATGATGTATGATATAATGTAAAATAACATGAGCATGAAAAATGTGAAACATTACCAGTTAACCATCCATTGCATTTACTGGATTGGGGTTTTAGAAGTAACCATTCATTATCTGTGAGGTTACACATTCCTCTAATCTTCTCTAGTTTAGGAATCATTAGTGTGTTTTCTAATGCCAATCCTTGTTGTTGTATCCATAAATACCTGATGGCACAAGTACTCCAGTTACTTAGACCTCTAGTAAATTTCATAGTTGCAACAGTTAAATTATCTAAATAATTATACATTGATTTATCTAAATCCAATCCTCTAACCTGTGATTTAACAACAATTGGAGCCCAATTTGCAGTAGCATGAAAACCAGTCCCTATATGCATGCTGGCTGTGTTTAACTTATTCTTGAGGGTCTCCATATCTATAACTATTTAGTATACCCATAGTGGTTCCAGCACCTCCTAACAGTGTGTCATACCATTCCCTTTTCTGCCTTTGTTTGTTGTATTACATAATGTTACAACAAGAGTAGTGACTTTTAATGACACATGTACAGCTTGTAAGAAGGCAGTTGTATTACCGTGTTTCCCCGAAAATAAACCCTACCCCGAAAATAAGCCCTAGTCGGATTTTCGGGGTGGGCTGCAATATAAGCCCTACCCCGAAAATAAGACCTAGGCATTGTACCTTTGCGGCGAGACTTCCTTCTTCTACTGTAGGAGGAGCGTTGCGGGCCGCGGCATCGCGCAACGTGATGACGACATTTTGCAGCGCCGTCAGTCTGCCTTCACGGATCTTCAGCGGAAGGATCCATTTCCGGGCGGTGAGGCTCCCAGTGGTCGGACTCGGCAAGGAATCTTTGAAATGTGAGTACCGCTAGATATTTTATGTCTGGGATTAATTGAATTTATTAAAGGGGGTGGGTGGGTGAATTAATTAAAGGGGGGGTGAATTAATTAAAGGGTGGGCTGGATTAATTAGAGGGGGGTGAATTAATTAAAGGGTGGGCTGGATTAATTAGAGGGAGTGAATTAATTAAAGGGGTGGTGAATTAATTAAAGGGTGGGCTGGATTAATTAGAGGGGGGTGAATTAATTAAAGGGTGGGCTGGATTAATTAGAGGGGGTGAATTAATTAAAGGGGTGGTGAATTAATTAAAGGGTGGGCTGGATTAATTAGAGGGGTGAATTAATTAAAGGGGGGTGAATTAATTAAAGGGTGGACTGGATTAATTAGAGGGGGTGAATTAATTAAAGGGTGGGCTGGATTAGAGGGGGGTGAATTAATTAAAGGGGTGGTGAATTAATTAAAGGGTGGGCTGGATTAATTAGAGGGGGGTGAATTAATTAAAGGGGGGTGAATTAATTAAAGGGTGGACTGGATTAATTAGAGGGGGTGAATTAATTAAAGGGGTGGTGAATTAATTAAAGGGTGGGCTGGATTAATTAGAGGGGGTGAATTAATTAAAGGGGTGGTGAATTAATTAAAGGGGTGGTGAATTAATTAAAGGGTGAGCTGGATTAATTAGAGGGGGTGAATTAATTAAAGGGGTGGTGAATTAATTAAAGGGTGGGCTGGATTAATTAGAGGGGGGTGAATTAATTAAAGGGGGGGTGAATTAATTAAAGTGTGGGCTGGATTAATTAGAGGGGGGTGAATTAATTAAAGGGGGGTGAATTAATTAAAGTGTGGGCTGGATTAATTAGAGGGGGGTGAATTAATTAAAGGGGTGGTGAATTAATTAAAGGGTGGGCTGGATTAATTAGAGGGGGGTGAATTAATTAAAGGGGGGTGAATTAATTAAAGGGGGGTGAATTAATTAAAGGGTGGACTGGATTAATTAGAGGGGGTGAATTAATTAAAGGGGTGGTGAATTAATTAAAGGGTGGGCTGGATTAATTAGAGGGGGTGAATTAATTAAAGGGGTGGTGAATTAATTAAAGGGGTGGTGGATTAATTAAAGGGGGGGTTCAATGTACATACCGTAAATAAATAAGCCCTACCCTGAAAATAAGCCCTAGTGTGTTTTTTGTGACTAAAATTAATATAAGACCCGGTCTTATTTTCGGAGAAACACGGTAACACATGTGGACGGAATAGGTGTGTCTGTGTCGTGTTTGACTTTTGGTTCTATGGTAGAGGATAAAGGACAGTAAGGTGTAAAAATATAAGGTAGTGTATAGTTCTCAATTGCAGTGTCGTTCATAATGACTAACATTTGTCCCCTTTTCCAATTAATGATACCAGTTATATAATCATTATTAAAAGTAATAAGGCCTGTCTGTTTACATTGATATGCAACCTTAACTGTGCACATTTCTGCATTATAAGATCTAACAATTTTCTGTGAACCTTTAAACAAACATAATGCATCGGTTTCATTAGCTGTAGACACATTTCATATGGGTAACTGGTACTTATAAGGGTTACTATTTGTCCAATTCATCCAAATGCGTTCATTGAATGAATGATTGCATATTGCATGCTGATAGAAAGTTGGTGGAGAAAGGTTCTTGAGGGGGCGTGTGTGACGAATGCTAGATGAGGGGCTAAGGCCTAATTGGGCTGGGGGTATTGAAGAATTGTTCATCATGTCAGAGTCTTTTTCCAGAACTTGCCATTGACTTGTACTCATAATGGCATTCAAGGAACAATATCAGAGGGAGTATAACAACTCCAGAAAGCATAGCACACAACATAATCTTGGTCTCAGGTATGTATGATCCTCTCAATCTACAATATGGTGTAAAAGCCATGATGCTTCGCTGAGGAGAAATTCTTCTGTTTCCGAGCGAGGAGTGGTGTTGTCTTCCTTGGTTCCCCTCTTTGGACACAGCTTCACTCGGGATGCGTGAATCCAGATGTCGTGGGAATCTGTGAGGACAGCGGTTCTGGTTACAGCAATCACAGTAGCAGGTGGTCCAAAAGGGTATCCTCCTTTCTTGGTCCTGTTCAACTGACGGATATACACCTTGTCACCGGGCTGGTATGGATGAGTAGGTTCCTGTGAAGGTAAGGGAAAACTGCGAAGAAACATTGTCATACATACCATTCAGTTTTATCAACAACTCCTGTACATATTGTTCTTGTATTAGCTGTAAATCCCCAGACATTATAACAAGCAGTTCCCTGGCCCAGGGTGTGGGAAAAGGTCATCCCATCAAAATCTCAAATGGAGATAATTTAGTCACCTTGTGAGGAATCACTCTTATCTCAGCTAAAATAGCTGGTAGATATCTAGTCCAATTTACCCATGTTCCTGGGTAAATTCTGGGCTTTTCCTTAATAGTCCTATTCATCCTTTCAACTACCCCTGTATTCTGTGGATGATAGGGTATATGAAACTGCCAGGTAACTTGCAAGAATTTAGCAAGTTCCTGGGCAACCCTACTTGCAAAAACCGGGCCATTATCAGAGCCAATCTGCAGAGGGCAGCCATACCTGGGAATAATTTCAGTAACAATAATCTTCACTAGCATCTTCCCTAGATGTCACAAAGGCCTCATGCCATCTACTAAACTGATCAACTATGACCAGTAAGTATTGCTGTTTCTTACCAATTTTGGATACATGAATAAAATCAATCTGTAAGTGTGTAAAAAGAGCAGCGTTCACACGAATCTTACAAAAGACTGTACATGCTGCCTGAGATTCCTAATATAAAATGAATTCATGAAGAATTGAATGGTGCTTGCTATGTGCCTGACTGATGAAAATAAATCAGCTTGCTTCAAGTATGCCTATTCTTCAAGTATGCCTATTCTCCCCTCTTTAGAGAACAGATCATTTTGATCTTTCTCTAAACCTTGTTTAATCCAAAAGACAGATTCTGGGTATTTAAAAAAGAATCTCATAACCACTTAAGCGCTGGGCTGTCATGTGTTGTGTGGTGAGATTTGTCAGCTGAGTGACCTGGTGACTGGCATGAAGTATTGTAGGATGCCCTAGTGTGATAGTAGTAGCAGTTTCAACAGCCATTGCACATGCTATCAATGCTCTGAGACACGCCGGCATACCCTGTACCGGAGCTTGAACTACTTTGGAAAAGAATGCTATGGGACGCATACCGCCTCCTTGCTCTTGTGCACAGACTGCGGCCATGGTTTTACAATTGTCCCAAGCATACAAATGAAATGGTTTACAATACACAGGTAGTCCTAAAGCCTGGGCTTGCACAATAACAACTGTAAGGGCAATATATGCAGCTAGCATGTCTGGTGACCAGCAGACATTTTCAGGGCTGTCAGAACGTACAGCCTCCCTTAGGATTGAGTCATAATGGGAGCATTCAGGGATCCATTGGTGGCAGTAATTAATCATGCCGAGGAAGGTGAGCAACTCCTTCCGAGTAGTGGGTGTAGGAATCCTCTGAATGACCTCAATACGTTTTGGACTCAATTGTCTGGTGCCTGAAGCCAGAACAAAACCTAAGTATTCAACCTTTGATTTACACAATTGCATTTTGTGTTTAACAACCTTGTGACCTACAGTTGCTGACAGTATCCACAGTGCTTGCCTCATAGCTAGGGCTACATAACAACAAATCATCAACATTTTGCAAAAAGGACGGAACCATGACCGGTGGTCCATGTTGTTTAGAGTATGTTGGAGTACCAACGAATAAACAGCTGGGGAATCCACATAGCCTTGGGTAAGCGTGTCCAGGTAAACTGACAGCCTTCAAAAAGTAAAAACCATAAGTAGCTGTGTCTCTTGATCAATAGGTATAGAAAAAAATGTATTACTTAAATCAATGACAGTGAAGCAAGTGGCATCATGTGGAATGGCTGTAATGAGGGATGTCACATCAGGGACAATGGGTGAAATGGGCACAATTAAACTATTCAGGGCTCTAAAGTCCTGAACTAAGCGATATGCTGGCCAGTGGTGTTGGGAGTGGGTCTGGTGTTGTTCTTGCCTACCGGGCATATTTTGAGAATTGTGGGGTTGTTGGGGTGTGTGGGGTTTCCTGGGGTTTCCTGGGGTGTGGACACTCATTCCTCCAGTGGCCATATTGGCCACAGTTGAAACAAGTGTTCCTGTCTATTCCTCCTTGGTTACCCCTGCCCCTATAACCCTGATTTCCCTGTCTCCATCCCCTTGCCCCTCTTTGACCACCCCTTCCACGGGCTTTATGTGCTCCATCCCATCCTCGCTCTCAGCCTGTGTAGGCGGACAGTGTTGCAATCCCTGAGCATAATAAGCAACCTTACTTTCCTAAATCTTTTCTTAATTCAAAACAACCTGCATTTTCCTTTTCTATAACCTTGGTAAGAAAATCTGAGCTATCCAAATTGGCCCAGTCTGAAATCAATTGTTTCACAAGCAAAGAATACTGTGGCAACATATTACCAAGGCATGACTGTATTTTAAAGATATCTATATCATCTCCAGACATCAAACCTGCCTCATCCTTCCAACACTTGTAAAATTTCTTTACAAAAATCATATTACCAATCTCTTCCTTTGCATCTTGCTTATATGCCAAAGCAGTGAATATAGACTGCTTATTCTTCCATAATCCCAACATTTCAGCTTCCACCTTGTTCCAAATTTTAGCACATCTTACTGAAGTACTAAGCTCATAATCACCAATTCATTTCAAACCATATAACTCATACTCAGCATCCAATGTAATATTACACGTCATCTCACAAAACAATATTTTTGTAAAAACACATAATGGGTACCCAGCAGATATGCCAATACAGAAATCACATTTATGGGCACACAACTACACACTCTGTCTCCCTCCTAGGAAACACGGATAGACACAATATAAAAGCAATCTTAAACTAACACCTCCAAATCTCCAACTATTCTTGGCCAAAACGCTAGTATTCAAAAACTAATAAAACAGTTATTTGCTAGGTTATTTGGCTGTCATTCTTATCAGTATCACTAGACTGAAACAAACTGATTCACATATAATTTAAAACAATACAGCAACATATAAATTAAACCACTTTCAAGTTAAACTGCACACTTATCACACATTATCACAGTCACCATTTACACAGAATAAACAGTTAACAGCTGTATTCAGAACATATTATTGGAAAGTATACCAATTTTAGTTTAGATTTATTTTAGGGATTCTTATGTGTACATTTTCTTAATTAACTTCATTACTTTAATCTACTATAGTATTATATATAAAGAAAGGATCCATTTATATAGCGCGCTCATAACTCAACTATTTGTATAAAACTACCATTAACTAATCTGAGATGATGCTGCATCAACTTAAATCTTATAGAAATTGAACAAACATCTGGACCAGATTAAACAGACATGGTTTCACCTGAATCTTTCAGAACTCTCAGAGACTTAAAAAATGTATACTATACCATGTTTTAAAGGCATGGCAAACCTTTAGACCGGTCAGTCTCCAAGAGCCCTTAGTAACACAGGTAAAAACCTTTGTCCATGATGTCTGATTCAGGCTATATACCACAATTTAAAATAACACATAATGTGAGACATAGAAGACACAAGCAGTAGTTATTACACTGGATCATTTAAAAGGAACCTGTTGCAATAAAAGGTTAGTTTACAGTGCAAAATAAAGCATGTGTTGGACCGCTGAAAATGTAAATGTTGCTCTGTTATTTTCAAACAAAAATTATATTTACAGTATGGATCCTTTGCAACAAACACACAGGGCAGGGAAGATGTGCTGATTGGTGTTTCTATACAATTAATCCCATATGGGGAATTAACTTTCAAATACTAATGAAGTGACTTTTTGTCTCAGTTATAAAATATACTGAGCTCATCATGCAAACAATGCAACACATTTACACTATCCCACTCTCATAATAAGTGTAGTGGGCTTATAGTATTTTTAAAGCAACAATCATTCCAGGCACACAGTTCCCATGTGAAATAACTTACAATAAAACAGAGTAATAAACTTATACTTCTATGCAACAGAAAGAATAAAGTAAAAAGATTTAAGTAGGTCTATCAGGTACAACCTATGAGTCATTTCTTTTCTAATATACAGTACTGCTATCTTGCAAAAAGATAAGTCCTACGCTCACTCCCATCACTACTGGGCAGCAGCAAGGACTACAGTACACATCAGCCCCAATATATGGTAAAAACCAAAGAAAAACAAGTTACCTGCGTTCTCTCCTTAAGCCCTATGTATTTTTAAAACCTCCATTTGTTTAAAAGTACTGCTATCTTATATATACACATATACATATACACACACATATATACACATACATATATGGTCACTCAGGACATGAACTCACATTTCCCATACTGCTGACTCAGAGTGGGGACACTACTAACTTACCAAAGTGTGTCCCCAATATAGACAAACAATCACCCACAAAAAACACTTAAGACAAACAAAGGTGACCGGGAGAAAGAGAAGTTTGGGTTATACTTAAAGATCTACAAACCGTGCTGCTCAGAACACCTATAGACTTAATAAACCAGAGACCTCTTATGGTCTCAAAACCTGTATCTACCTGAGATACCCTGTATCTATCTTAGATACTAACCTGGGTTACCAAAACCCTATAATAAACCGGAGACCTCTTATGGTCTCAAAAACCTGTATCTATCTTAGATACTAACCTGGGTTACCAAAACCCTATATATTTAGACCAAATGTCTAATAAACCGGAGACCTCTTATAGTCTCAATATAACTAGAGTCCTTACACCTTTCCTATCTACTGGATACAGTCTTACTGAACCAAACGGGGGTCATAGACAATCAGCGTCAATAAGACACAAAAAGGCTACTCACCGCAAATGGTTTTGCTGATCCAACTTCTATCCCACTTCTGACACCAAGCTGAAAGGGTTAATGTTGTAATGGACTCTAATCCCCTCGGTTCTCGATCCCTCGGTCACCATAATCAACGTTGATGGAGAATCATTTGTAAGCAATAACACACGGACAACAGCTTTACAAGACTCTCAAATGAGTGTATTCCAGAGCTGGCTTTTATACATAGTTTGCTTACATTAGCCATGGTATATGCCATTACAGTACAGACTATAAGATTTATTACTTCCTTGTATTACGTTATTCTGACAATGGAAAGATAAGCTTTTGCATACGTCTGGAAAAGAATATCCTGAAATCGGAATGGGCAAGACATCCTGAAATTTTAGCATTGTCTTACATCCTATAGAAGAAATACCTTAGTCTGTCACAGTCAGCATATTGACTTTAAGTATTCAATATCCCTTCAGTCAGCAATAATCATGTTATAAACCTTATAAAAGCATAAAATACATATAAACAAGTTAACTATTTAATATTCTTACAAATCCAACCAATCACCTACCCCCGCGGACAAAGATATAGAGACCTACTTAAGAGACATACCCCTCCCGACTCTCACGAGAGACCAATCGGCCCAACTAGCCAACCGAGTCACGACAAGTGAAGTGATTGAAGCCATACGCACCCTGCCTAAAAACAAAGCACCAGGTCCAGACGGATTTACGAATACGTACTACAAAAAGTTCGCAACTCAACTAGCCCCCTCACTGACCTCCCTATTCAACGAGGCCACTCAGAACAAGACGCTCCCAACAGACCTCCTTCTGGCACACATCATTACACTCCCCAAACCCGGCAAACCACCGACCCACTGCCCAAACTTCAGACCAATCTCCCTATTAAACACAGATGCTAAACTATATGCAAAGATATATGCCCGTCGCCTAGGGTCGATACTCCCAACACTGATCCATGATGACCAGGTGGGGTTCGTGGCAGGCAGACAGGGAGCTGACAACACACGCAAAGTGCTAGATCTCATTCACAGCATAAGGAGGAAAAATTTAAGCGGCCTCCTAGTCTCGCTTGACGCGGAGAAAGCTTTTGATAGACTTAACTGGAAATTCCTCCAAATGGTCTTGACGAAATTTGGCTTCCCCCGCCAATTCATAAACACGGTAGCGGCACTCTATAGCAACCCGACTGCGAGAGTCCTAAATGCAGGATTCCGATCGAATGAATTCACTATAAACAATGGCTCACGACAGGGCTGCCCCCTGTCCCCACTGTTATACGTGCTGGCATTAGAACCATTAGCAGCCAAAATTAGGTCAAACTCTGCAATACATGGGATACCACTCAATCAACAGGAATACAAATTAAGTATCTTTGCAGACGATATATTCCTAACCCTCACACAACCATTAATTTCCCTACCCAACCTTATGCACCTCATTACGGAGTACGGACAGCTCTCACACTACAAACTTAATGTTACCAAAACACAA